TTTTCGACCTCCATGGTAAATCTGATGGCTGGGTGTATGGAATTGATGTGGTCGTGGAATTGGTCTAGAGCAGGCTGGCCTTGTGGCCAGATGACAAAGGTGTCATCCACGTACCTCTTCCATAAGGTCGGGCGTAGAGTGGCAGTCTGGATGGCGTCAGTTTCAATTTTTTCCATGAATACGTTGGCTACAACCGGAGATAGGGGGGAGCCCATTGGGGTGCCCTCAGTTTGTTTGTAGAAAGTTCCATTCCAGGTGAAGTATGTGTTGGTTAAGCAATGTCTCACCAGGGGGGGGTACATCAGTGTGCAGTCCTTGATGAACCAGGTCTTCAATGATAGCGATGGTGTCAGGTACCGGGACTTTGGTGAACAAGGACACCACATCAAAACTGACAAACAGGTCGTCTGGGGACAGGGAAATGCCTTTGATTGTCGATACCAGGTGAGTAGAATTTAGTACCGCAGAGGTGGTTTTTCCAGTGAAAGGTCGCAGTATATCAGCAAGAAAACGTGCCAGTTTATAGGTGGGGGAGTTGATAGTAGAGACGTCGTCGTCATCATCACGTTGACATAGCAGCAGCCAAATCCTCTAAGGGGCCGTCCATAAATGACGTCACACACCTGGGGGGGGGGGGGTCAGACATTTGTGACGATGTGCGACGAGGTGGGGGGGGGGTTGAGAAATGTGACGTCACATCAAAATGCGCAACTTTAAATAAATACAGACAACACGTTCTAGTTAATTAAATATACTTTTTAATAAATGTTTTCTCCTACAATACCAGAGTGCAGCGCCACATTAAATACGCACTGCAATCCATACAGACCCACAGATACTCCTATAGAAGAGATCCACACAGACCCACAGATACCCATACTCACATAGAAACAGAGATCCACACAGACCCACAGATACCCATACTCATATAGAAACAGAGATCCATACAGACCCACAGATACCCATACTCATATAGAAACAGAGATCCATACAGACCCACAGATACCCATGCTCATATAGAAACAGAGATCCATACAGACCCACAGATACCCATACTCATATAGAAACAGATCCATACAGACCCACAGATACCCATACTCACTTAGAAACAGAGATCCATACAGACCCACAGATGCCCATACTCATATAGAAGCAGAGATCCATACAGACCCACAGATACCCATACTCCTATAGAAGCAGAGATCCAAACAGACCCACAGATACCCATACTCATTTAGAAACAGAGATCCACACGGACCCACAGATACCCATACTCATATAGAAGCAGAGATCCACACAGACCCACAGATACCCATACTCATATAGAAACAGAGATCCATACAGACCCACAGATACCCATACTCATTTAGAAACAGAGATCCATACAGACCCACAGATACCCATACTCATATAGAAACAGAGATCCACATGACCCACAGATACCCATACTCATATAGAAACAGAGATCCACACATACCCACAGATACCCATACTCATATAGAAGCAGAGATCCACACAGACCCACAGAAATTCATACTAAACTCAACAAGTTTGGCTTTACCAGGTAAGGCCTCACTGAGACGTCCAGCTCTTTGTCACAAGCCACTTGCCTATCACAAATTATAGTTCCAACGAAGTGAGCTTATCATCATCACGTGCATATTGATAGCAGTAGCCAAAGAATCTGAACGCTGCTTGTAAATGCGGAGGGAAAATCCGCAGGCCCCGCAGAAAAGTAGGAACATTTCTCATTGCGCACTCTAAGGAGTGCAGTCCATCACGAATGCGCGTCGATCACACGTTGAAGTGGGCTGCCTGAAATAACACCACCGTTTTGAGTCTTTTCGATTTAAAGCTTTCGTGACTGCAGGGATTCATCTTCTTGGTTCTTTCGGTAAAGTCGCCACCACGTAGAAGGGAAACAAAAAAGTAACAATAAAAATATGAAACGATAAAAGTTTTTTTATATTCTTAGTTCTTTCGAAAAAGTCACGTTCAACGTGACTTTACCGAAAGAACTAAGAATATGAATTACTGCAGTCACGAAAGCTTTAAATCAATATAAAAGTTTTGTTATATATATTATTTTATTGTTTCCCTTCTACGTGGTGACTTTACCGAAAGAACCAAGAATATGTTTTGAGTCTTGTCGCAGAACTGGCTCAGGCTCAGGGATGGGTCCCGAACGTGAGCCCGGCAGCGGTGTTCCAGTCCTTTGGGCCGGGGACACCCCAAACTGCGCTGGGGCACATCCCTCGCGAGGTTTTTACGCGCAGCGGGGGGACAGGAGCAGGTGGCCGCTAGCCGCGGGTTCGTAGTCGGGAGTCGATGGGGAGAGAGAGAGAGGCGTCGGGGCTCGGGATCGAACCCACGACCTCCTGTGTACCCCGACAGTTCCACGTATTCGCGTGGAACCGTCGGACGATGAGGCAGGCAAGGGAGACGCTGGTTCTGACAGCGACCCATTTACCGGTAATCACCAGCCACGGTCACTCCACCGCTGGATCGGAAGTGCGCAAAGAAGCTCGCAGAGACGCTTGCTCGGAATTGCAACTGAGAAAGGGGAACGCATCGATTAAGTTGGAGAACGCGCGCAGGATAGAGATGTCGGTGCAGGACGCGTCAAGGCCACCTCATGCTGACCCCAATTCCCACCAATCGCGCACAGCCACGTCGGCCACCAAACCCTCACCGCAAACCCTCAAGAGGCTTTCCTGACCAGCTCAGGTGGTCGAGGCTGATCACGGAGAGACGGGCCACGCATCGGAATGCAGTTAAGAGGTGAGGACGGACCACTGTGGAGGAGTTGGAGCGATGATTGATGTGTGTAGAGTAGGTTGCCGGTGCACCCCGACGAACCCCGACCGCCCTCGCCCTGGTACACGAGGTAGCGGCTCACTTAAATGCAAACATTTTGGTCTCCCCTTAGCAGTCTCTGTCAAGCTACTTAGCCCGTGCAGCGCCCCCCCCACCCCCCAAATCGGAACACTGTAACATCGTTAACGTAAGCCCTGACTTTTTGTCGACCTCAACTTCCACCAATTGCGCACAGCCGCGTCGACTACCAAACCCTTCAGACTCTTTGGTTCTTTTGGTAAAGTCACGTAGCTGGAAATAAAATAAAATGCATTCGCGACGTTTCAAAACACGCAACACAAGCGTCCATCTTCGGGTGAAAATCGCGATGGCCGCGATGTCTGCTCCCTTGTGAAGAGAAGCATGATTCAGATCTACTGAACCCTCGCCGCCACGCCAAGCGGCTTGACTGCCCATAGACTCAAAACTGCACCAGAGAATCAACACTGCCATAGAGTCAATACTGCCCATAGACTCAACACTGCCCATAGACTCAACACTGCCCATAGACTCAACACTGCACCATAGACTCAACACTGCACCATAGACTCAACACTGCACCATAGACTCAACACTGCCCATAGACTCAACACTGCACCATAGACTCAACACTGCACCATAGACTCAGCACTGCACAAAAGACTCAACGCTGCACCATAGACTCAACGCTGCACCATAGACTCAACACTGCACCATAGACTCAACAGTGCACCATAGACTCAACACTGCCATAGACTCAACACTGCACCATAGACTCAACATTGCCCATAGACTCAAAACTGCACCAGAGAATCAACACTGCCATAGAGTCAATACTGCCCATAGACTCAAAACTGCACCAGAGAATCAACACTGCCATAGAGTCAATACTGCCCATAGACTCAACACTGCCCATAGAGTCAACACTGCCCATAGACTCAACACTGCCATAGACTCAACACTGCACCATAGACTCAACACTGCACCATAGACTCAACACTGCACCATAGACTCAACACTGCCCATAGACTCAACACTGCACCATAGACTCAACACTGCACCATAGACTCAGCACTGCACAAAAGACTCAACACTGCACCATAGACTCAACGCTGCACCATAGACTCAACGCTGCACCATAGACTCAACACTGCACCATAGACTCAACAGTGCACCATAGACTCAACACTGCCATAGACTCAACACTGCACCATAGACTCAACACTGCACCATAGACTCAACACTGCCATAGACTCAACACTGCCCCATAGACTCAACACTGCCCCATAGACTCAACACTGCACCATAGACTCAACACTACACCATAGACTCAACACTGCACCATAGACTCAACACTGCCCATAGACTCAACGCTGCACCATAGACTCAACGCTGCACCATAGACTCAACGCTGCACCATAGACTCAACGCTGCACCATAGACTCAACGCTGCACCATAGACTCAACGCTACACCATAGACTCAACACTGCACCATAGACTCAACACTGCCCATAGACTCAACGCTGCACCATAGACTCAACGCTGCACCATAGACTCAACGCTGCACCATAGACTCAACGCTGCACCATAGACTCAACACTGCACCAAAGACTCAACACTGCACCATAGACTCAACACTGCACCATAGACTCAACACTGCACCATAGACTCAACACTGCACCATAGACTCAACACTGCACCAAAGACTCAACATTGCCCAGTGTCTTGTTGTTTCGTTTTGTTCTGCATCTTGTCCCTTGCTGGAGAGAGGCGGAGGTGGGGCCACGACACGGACAGAGACACAGAGGGAGACAGAGACACATAGACACGCAGAGAGACACACAGAGAGAGAGACAGAGACACGCAGAGAGAGACACAGAGACACGCAGAGAGAGACGGAGAGAGACACGCAAAGAGACACACAGAGACAGAGAGAGACACACAGTGGGAGAGAGACAGAGAGACACAGAGAGAGACACAGAGACACACAGAGAGAGACACGCAGAGAGACACACAGAGAGAGACACACACAGAGACACAGAGAGACACAGAGAGAGACACACAGAGAGACAGAGAGAGACACACAGAGAGAGTGAGACAGTGGGAGAGAGACACAGAGAGACTCACAGAGACACACAGAGACACAGAGAGAGACAGAGACACACAGAGACACAGAGAGACAGAGATACACAGAGACCTAGAGAGACACAGAGAGACAGAGACACACAGAGACCTTGAGAGACAGAGACACACAGAGACACAGAGACACACAGAGACCTAGAGAGAAAAGCAACGTGGACGTACAGAGACACGAGGTGAGTCGACCATCACTCGCAGTGATCTCATCACATCAGCACTGGGGAGACAAAGGCGGCCGGGCGAAGCTTTGTCTTTGCTGTGCATGTACACGTGTGTGTGTGTGTATGTGTCTGTGTGCGTTGGTTTGTTTGTGTCTATAGTGTGTTAGTGTGGTGTGTGTTAGTGTGTGGTGTATTAGTGTGTGTGTTAATAAACCACGACTGAAATATCTAACTAATAAGCTTGTGAAGGAGGCCCCGGGGGGACAGGCGTCTGTGACGTCTCCTGGCCAAACCCCATTTGGCGGAGCCAGGAGATTGAATTTTTACCCTCGGGGCTCCTCAGGAAACAACGAAAAGCCACTACGGATGGCCACGTGGAATGTTCGAACGCTCACTGAGGAGGAGGCTGCCACTGCTCTGTCGGGAGCTGGACCGGTACCGCCTGGATCTCTGTGGGATTCAGGAGGTCCAATGGACCAGTTCTGGCTCCTGCCACCATGAGGGGTGGACAGTCCTCTACTCGGGGCAGCAGACTGCCAAACAACAGGGTGTGGCTCTTCTTCTGAACAAAAGAAATAAGGGGGCGTGGGAGCGTAGCGGTGAGGTGTGGGAAGCTGTAAGCCCCAGGCTACTTTGGGCTCGCCTTCCCATCAACCGGAGGCGAGGAGTGGTGGTCGTGGTTACTTATGCCTCCACCGAAGACGAACATCCGTGGAGAGATGCAGGCAAGGCCGATGAGTCAGATGCCTTCTATGACCTTTCACAGGTGCTGGCTAAAGTGGCCCCTCGGGATAGTCATCTTGTTGGGTGACTTCAATGCCCGAGTTGGTCATGATGCTGGCACCTGGTCTGAAGTGATTGGAAGGCATGGGCCAGATCAGCTCAATAACAACTGTAGGAGGCTGCTAGATTTTTGTGCAGCCCATGGGCTTGTAATTACCAACACGCTGTTCCGGCATCGGTGCATCCACACAACATCATGGATGCATGCCGGGTCCAAGCAAGAACATCTGCTGGACTACATAGTGACAGACCAGCGGATGCGAGCCCATGTCCTTGACACCAGGACCTACCGTGGAGCTGATCTGCCCTCTAACCATCGACTAGTTTTTCTGTAAGATGCGCCTGCCATTCTTCTACTCTGGTGGTGGGTGTACACCCAGGACCTCATTCCAATCTAAGGTGGCCTGGTCTCATTTAGCTGATGAAGTTGCAAGTGAGAATTTCATCATCGCTTGTGGCTGGGGTTGGCATCGTCCCCCACTCCTCCTGATGTCGAGGGTAAATGGGCAAGGTTTAGGACTGTTACTCATGCAGCTGCAATGGCTGCTTTGGGTACGCTGTCCAGACCTCCCCAGAGACCCTGGCTGACAGAGGAGGTGTTCAGGATGGTTGAGAAAAAGCGACAGGCCCACTCTCATCCGCTACAGCATCCCACGTCAGAGAATGAGGAGGCTTACCGCAGCCTTCGCTCGGAGGTTCATAGAGCCGTGAGGCACTGCAAGGATGGGTGGTCGTCGCGGGTTGCTGAGGAGATGGAGTCTGCCTCATTGGCCCGCGATCACAAATCCCTATTTAACTCCATCAAAAAAGTAACCTGCAGCGCCACACCTATTACCAGCATTAGGGGAAAAAACGGTGATCCAATCTCCGACCACCAGGAACAGATTTGCTGAGCATTTCTGTGAGGTGCTGAGGGAGGGGAAATACCTCAGCCAGGAAAACATTGTGGCACAAAGTGGGGATGACCCTGCTGAGGCTGCAGTGCCCCAAATATTGCAAGTAGAAGTCACCCCCTGTGAGTGGCTGGCTGAGGTACCATCTGTTGAGGAAGTACTGAAGGCGATCCAGAGACTGAGACCAGGACAGGCACTGGGAGGGTGGTGTTTGTGCACAGACTGCCCTACATGACATCACAACAACAGTCTGGACCATTGGACGGGTTCTGCAGGACTGGAAGGATGCCCTGGTGGTCCCCCTCTTTAAGAAGGGGGACCGCACAGACTGTAACAACTACAGGGGCATCTCACTCCTCAGTGTGCGGGGAAAGGTCCTGGCAAGGAATATTCAACATCGCCTTGCTAGGCATGCTGAGGAGAGGCTTGCGGAGCCCCAATGCAGTTTCAGGAAAGTGTGGTCCTGCACAGATGCCATATTTTCTGTCCGTCTGCTACAGCAGAGGTGTAGCGAATTCCAACAAGACCTACATCTCTGCTTCATTGACCTGGTCAAGGCCTATGATACCATCAGTAGGCCTGGGCTCTGGGTTGTTCTTCGTGCTTTCGGAGTCCCTGACCCTCTGCTCACGCTCATTAAGGACCTTCATGATGGTGAGCAGGCCCGGGTAAAACTACGGGGCTGGGAGTCTGAGCCATTCCCTGTACACCTTGGGGTGCAACAGGGATGTCCTCTGGCTCCAACATGATTTAACATTCATTTTTACCACGTCGTTCATGAAGCCTTCAATAGCTGTACCGGGGGAATTTCCATTTGGTACAGATATAATGGGAGGCTGATTGATGCCCGGGTGCGGTCAAGGGATGGCTCCCGATTGGTCAACCACATTATGTATGCCGATGATTTAGTAATTGCTGATCATTCAGAGGAGAAGTTGGAGATGCTGCTGCTGAAACTCGAGCACGCCACTATGAGGTGGGGCCTTACCATCAGCCCTACCAAAACGAAGCATCTGTCTGGGTATTTTGTACCATCGGACACTCTACCCCCATAACTCCCAATCGGTGATGGGGCAGTTGTGGAGAGAGTGGAGAGTTTCCCATACCTGGGCAGTGTGCTCATGACCGCCTCTGGTTTAACAGCAGAGGTATCACTCCGAATCAGTCGAGCGGCAATATATGTTCATCGGTTGCGTAACGCTGTGTGAAAGCTACCTGGTCTGTCGCTCCGCACAAAGCTTCAGGTCTTCTCGGCCACGGTCATTCTCTCCCTTCTCTACGCTTGTGAAACGTGGACCCTCCTAATGGAGCATCTTCGCCAGTTATACACATTTAGGCTGGGCTGCCTACGATCCATCCTGGGTTTAACCAGGCTGGATTGTGTGAGGAGCTCACAAATCCTTGAAAGATCTGGGCAAAGTCCCATCGGTGAGCTCCTCCGGCAGGCAAGACTGCGTTGGCTGGGTCATGTAGACTGCATGCCCAGCCACCGCATGCCTATACAGCTTTTGTTCAGCGGGATAGAGGGGGCTAAACGGGTGCTGCACGGGCTAGAGAAGAGATGGAGTGATGTGATACAGGAGGACGTGGAGCTGAGTGGACTTGCCGATGACTGGTACCAGCGGTGTCAAGATCGGCCTCAGTGGAGGAGGCTCGTGAAGGACGCTACTGGGCAGTTGGAGGCAGTCGCCCTCCAACAACAACAGAGGGTGGAGGAGCGACGCTCACAACAATGAGCGGAGCGCCGGGTGGCTAAAGCACAGCAGGTTGGCACAGTAAGGGGCACAGGTGGTGCATCAGCCAGTCATCTCAGTCGACCCGTGGCACCTGGGTTTGCCCTGTGACCTCCTGCTAGCGGGTGTTCGACACTTCACGTGGCCTCAAGGTGCACATGGCCTGGCACAAGCGTCGTGGTGACGTCACCGCCACTTAGTGGCGAATGGCGGTTTTTGTTGTTAGTGTGTTAGTGTGTGTGTTAGTGTGTTTGTTAGTGTGTGTGTTAGTGTGTGTGTTAGTCTGTGTGTTAGTGTGTGTTAGTGTGTGTGTACTCTATCTAAGTTGTCGTCTGAGATTCCTTGTCCCTGCCTCTCAGATGGCTTCACTCGGCAAGTCTCCTCCACCTCCTCCTCTGCTCATCAAACAAGAGGCTGATGAGGAGGAGAGCCCAGAGTCTGGGATGAACCCTCACCTGGTGGTGAAATGTGAAGACGCCGCCCCTGACGATGACGAAGACGATGAATCAGCAATGGCAGCAGTGGCAGCGCCAATCGGTGAGATCTCTCGGCTCATCTCCTGCCGTCGTCAGCTGACTTGGACCAGGAACGGTGCATCCGTGAGCCTCCTGAGAGAAACGCCCAGACCCAGGGATTGAACCCAGGCTCTCAGTATCTCTGGCTTATTGTCCCTGGCTCGGTCATTATGAACTCCCTGAGAGACAGAGCGAGACACCCAGACCTAGGGATTGAACCCAGTGCTTTCAGTGTCTCTGGCTCGGTCATGATAAACTCCCTGAGAGACAGCGAGACACCCAGACCCAGGGCTTGAACCCAGGCTCCCAGTGTCTCTGGCTCAGTGTCTGTGACATGGCCATCATGAACCCTCTAAGAGGGACACCAAGACCCAGGGATCGAACGCAGGGTCCTCCGTGTCTCTGGCTTGGTCATCATGAACCCCCTGAGACAGAGAGAGACACCCAGACCCAGGGCTTGAACCCAGCTTCTCAGTGTCTCTGGCTTGGTCATCATGAACCCCCTGAGACAGAGAGAGACACCCAGACCCAGGGTTTGAACCCAGCATCTCAGTGTCTCTGGCTTGGTCATCATGAACCCTCTGAGACAAAGAGAGACACCCAGACCCAGGGCTTGAACCCAGCCTCTCAGTGTCTCTGGCTTGGTCATCATGAACCCCCCGAGCCAGAGAGAGACACTCAGACCCAGGGCTTGAACCCAGGCTCCCAGTGTCTCTGGCTCAGTGTCTCTGACATGGCCATTATGAACCCTCTCAGAGGGACACCAAGACCCAGGGATCGAACCCAGGGTCCTCCGTGTCTCTGGCTCAGCCACCGTCTCCCTGAACCCCTCGGTCTCCTCTCGTCTCTCCGCAGCAGCAGCAGGAGCAGTGCAGCAGTGTGAGTGGGCGTGTGCAGCAGGAGCGTGTGTGTGTGTGTACAGTAGGAGCAGCATGTGTGTGTGCAGCAGGAGCGTGCGTGTGTGTGTGTGCACCAGGAGCATGTGTGTGTGCGTGTGTGCAGCAGGAGCGTGTTTGTGTGTGTACAGCATGAGCAGCATGTGTGTGTGTGTGCAGCAGGAGCGTGTGTGTGTGTGCAGCATCACCAGCGTGTGTGTGTGCAGCAGCAGCAGCATGTGTGTGCGTGTGCAGCAGGAGCGGCCGTGAAGCAGGAGGGTGAGAGGTGCGTGGACTCTGAGATCGTGAGGATTCTGGTGAAGGGCGAAGTGGAGGAGGAGGAGGGTAAGAGCTCTCTCTACCGGCACGTGGAGAAAAAACCAAGACTCAACTCATACGGCCAAACCATTTGCTAAACCATGAACTATTTTTTTATGATACCCTGTAAGGCCCACTGAGCTACACAGGGACCCCTCTACTTACGAACATTTGACTTATGAGCTCTCAAAGATATGAACAAACGTGGTCCGTATGTCCAGTTGCAGCATGTTCAGACTGAGAGTCGTAAGTTCAACTGCCGCACAATAGATGGCGGTGGTGGCATTACATCTGCAGAACGTGAAGAACCAGTGGCATCTACATCTGTAGAACGTGAAGAACCAGTGGCATTCTACATCTGTAGAACGTGAATAACCAGTGGCATCTACATCTACAGAACGTGAAGAACCAGTGGCATCTACATCTGTAGAACGTGAATAACCAGTGGCATCTACATCTGCAGAACGTGAAGAACCAGTGGCATCTACATCTGCAGAACGTGAAGAACCAATGGCATCTACATCTACAGAACGTGAAGAACCAGTGGCATCTACATCTACAGAACGTGAATAACCAGTGGCATCTACATCTGTAGAACGTGAAGAATCAGTGGCATCTACATCTGCAGAACGTGAAGAACCAGTGGCATCTACATCTGCAGAACGTGAAGAACCAGTGGCATCTACATCTGTAGAACGTGAATAACCAGTGGCATCTACATCTACAGAACATGAAGAACCAGTGGCATCTACATCTGCAGAACGTGAAGAACCAGTGGCATCTACATCTGCAGAACGTGAAGAACCAGTGGCATCTACATCTACAGAACATGAAGAACCAGTGGCATCTACATCTGTAGAACATAAAGAACCAGTGGCATCTACATCTGCAGAACGTGAAGAACCAGTGACATCTACATCTGCAGAACGTGAAGAACCAGTGACATCTACATCTACAGAACGTGAAGAACCAGTGGCATCTACAGAACGTGAAGAACCAGTGGCATCTACATCTGTAGAACGTGAAGAACCAGTGGCATCTACATCTGTAGAACGTGAATAACCAGTGGCATCTACATCTGTAGAACGTGAATAACCAGTGGCATCTACATCTCTAGAACGTGAATAACCAGTGGCATCTACATCTGCAGAACGTGAAGAACCAGTGGCATCTACATCTGCAGAACGTGAAGAACCAGTGGCATCTACATCTGCAGAACGTGAAGAACCAGTGGCATCTACATCTGCAGAACGTGAAGAACCAATGGCATCTACATCTACAGAACGTGAAGAACCAGTGGCATCTACATCTACAGAACGTGAAGAACCAGTGGCATCTACATCTGTAGAACGTGAAGAACCAGTGGCATCTACATCTGCAGAACGTGAAGAACCAGTGGCATCTACATCTGCAGAACGTGAAGAACCAGTGGCATCTACATCTGTAGAACGTGAATAACCAGTGGCATCTACATCTACATAACATGAAGAACCAGTGGCATCTACATCTGCAGAACGTGAAGAACCAGTGGCATCTACATCTGCAGAACGTGAAGAACCAGTGGCATCTACATCTACAGAACATGAAGAACCAGTGGCATCTACATCTGTAGAACATAAAGAACCAGTGGCATCTACATCTGCAGAACGTGAAGAACCAGTGGCATCTACATCTGCAGAACGTGAAGAACCAGTGGCATCTACATCTGCAGAACGTGAAGAACCAGTGGCATCTACATCTACAGAACATGAAGAACCAGTGGCATCTACATCTGCAGAACGTGAAGAACCAGTGGCATCTACATCTGCAGAACGTGAAGAACCAGTGGCATCTACATCTGTAGAACGTGAATAACCAGTGGCATCTACATCTACATAACATGAAGAACCAGTGGCATCTACATCTGCAGAACGTGAAGAACCAGTGGCATCTACATCTGCAGAACGTGAAGAACCAGTGGCATCTACATCTACAGAACATGAAGAACCAGTGGCATCTACATCTGTAGAACATAAAGAACCAGTGGCATCTACATCTGCAGAACGTGAAGAACCAGTGACATCTACATCTGCAGAACGTGAAGAACCAGTGACATCTACATCTACAGAACGTGAAGAACCAGTGGCATCTACATCTACAGAACGTGAAGAACCAGTGGCATCTACATCTGTAGAACATAAAGAACAGGTGGCATCTACATCTGCAGAACGTGAAAAACCGGTGGCATCTATATCTGCAGAATGTGAAGAACCAGTGGCATCTACATCTGCAGAAGTGAAGAACCAGTGGCATTTACATCTACAGAACGTGAAGAATCAGTGGCATCTACATCTGTAGAACGTGAAGAACCAATGGCATCTGCATCTGCAGAATGTGAAGAACCAGTGGCATTTACATCTACAGAACGTGAAGAACCAGTGGCATTTACATCTACAGAACGTGAAGAACCAGTGGCTTCTACATCTGCAGAATGTGAAGAAGCATTGGCATCTACATCTGCAGAAGTGAAGAACCAGTGGCATCTACATCTGCAGAACATGAAGAACCAGTGGCATCTACATCTAAAGAACGTGAAGAACTAGTGGCATCTACATCTGTAGAACGTGAAGAACCAGTGGCATCTACATATGTCAGAACGTGAAGAACCAGTGGCATGTACATCTGCAGAATGTGAAGAACCAGTGGCATCTACATCTAACATGAAGAATCTGTGGCATCTACATCTGCAGAACGTGAAGAACCAGTGGCATCTACATCTGTAGAATGTGAAGAACCAGTGGCATCTACATCTGTATAACGTGAAGAACCAGTGGCATCTACATCTGTATAACGTGAAGAACCAGTGACATCTACATCTGCAGAACGTGAAGAACCAGTGACATCTACATCTGCAGAACGTGAAGAACCAGTGGCATCTACATCTGCAGAACGTTAAAAACCAGTGGCATCTACATCTGCAGAACATGAAGAACCAGTGGCATCTACATCGGCAGAACATGAAGAACCAGTGGATTCTACATCTGCAGAACATGACGAACCAGTGGCATCTACATCTGCAGAACATGAAGAACCAGTGGCATATACATCTGCAGAACGTGAAGGACCAGTGGCATCTACATCTGCAGAACGTGAAGAACCAGTGGCGTCTACATCTGTAGAACGTGAAGAACCAGTGGCATCTACATATGTCAGAACGTGGAGAACCAATGGCATCTACATCTGGAGAACGTGAAGAACCAGTGGAATCTACATCTGCAGAACGTGAAGAACCAGTGGCATCTACATTTGCAGAACGTGAAGAACCAGTAGCATCTACATCTGCAGAACGTGAAGAACCAGTGGCATCTACATCTGTAGAACATGAAGAACCAGTGGCATCTACCTCTGCAGAACGTTAAAAACCAGTGCCATCTACATCTGCAGAACGTGAAGAACCAGTGGCATCTACATCTGTAGAACGTGAAGAACCAGTGGCATCTACATATGTCAGAACGTGAAGAACCAATGGCATCTACATCTGGAGAACATGAAGAACCAGTGCAATCTACATCTGCAGAACGTGAAGAACCAGTGGAATCTACATCTGCAGAACGTGAAGAACCAGTAGTATCTACATATGTCAGAACGTGAAGAACCAGGTCCATCTACATCTACAGAACGTGAAGAACCAGTGCCATCTACATCTTCAGAACGTTAAAAACCAGTGCCATCTACATCTGCAGAACATGAAGAACCAATGGCATCTACATCTGCAGAACATGAAGAACCAGTGGAATCTACATCTGCAGAACGTGAAGAACCAGTGGCATCTACATCTAAAGAACGTGAAGAACCAGTGGCATCTACATCTGTAGAACGTGAAGAACCAGTGGCATCTACATATGTCAGAACGTGAAGAACCAGTGGCATGTACATCTGCAGAATGTGAAGAACCAGTGGCATCTACATCTGCAGAAAATGAAGAATCTGTGGCATCTACATCTGCAGAACGTGAAGAACCAGTGGCATCTACATCTGTAGAATGTGACGAACCAGTGGCATCTACATCTGTATAACGTGAAGAACCAGTGGCATCTACATCTGTATAACGTGAAGAACCAGTGACATCTACATCTGCAGAACGTGAAGAACCAGTGACATCTACATCTGCAGAACGTGAAGAACCAGTGGCATCTACATCTGCAGAACGTTAAAAACCAGTGGCATCTACATCTGCAGAACATGAAGAACCAGTGGCATCTACATCGGCAGAACATGAAGAACCAGTGGATTCTACATCTGGAGAACATGAAGAACCAGTGGCATCTACATCTGCAGAACATGAAGAACCAGTGGCATATACATCTGCAGAACGTGAAGGACCAGTGGCATCTACATCTGCAGAACGTGAAGAACCAGTGGCGTCTACATCTGTAGAACGTGAAGAACCAGTGGCATCTACATATGTCAGAACGTGGAGAACCAATGGCATCTACATCTGTATAACGTGAAGAACCAGTGACATCTACATCTGCAGAACGTGAAGAACCAGTGGAATCTACATCTGCAGAACGTGAAGAACCAGTGGCATCTACATCTAAAGAACGTGAAGAACCAGTGGCATCTACATCTGTAGAACGTGAAGAACCAGTGACATCTACATCTGCAGAACGTGAAGAACCAGTGGAATCTACATCTGCAGAACGTGAAGAACCAGTGGCATCTACATTTGCAGAACGTGAAGAACCAGTAGCATCTACATCTGCAGAACGTGAAGAACCAGTGGCATCTACATCTGTAGAACATGAAGAACCAGTGGCATCTACCTCTGCAGAACGTTAAAAACCAGTGCCATCTACATCTGCAGAACGTGAAGAACCAGTGGCATCTACATCTGTAGAACGTGAAGAACCAGTGGCATCTACATATGTCAGAACGTGAAGAACCAATGGCATCTACATCTGGAGAACATGAAGAACCAGTGCAATCTACATCTGCAGAACGTGAAGAACCAGTGGAATCTACATCTGCAGAACGTGAAGAACCAG